CTCTCGAAGGAAATGGAAAGTGGGTCTGCCACATCCTGGCAGCACGCTGCGGCCATTGCGTTAAGATGGGCAATGCCACTTTTTGCGGCCGCATCGCGGGAGAAAGTAAAAGTCACCAGTGCCCTTTGGGACAGAGGCCTTCCCAGGAGGCTGCTCCAGAGGGAGCACCCAAAGGACAAAGCAGCAGCGTGGTTCAGGTCTGAACATGGTTGGAGGTTCACCCAAAACGCCCGCCGAGCTCCCTGGAGCCAGGCGTTCCCTCGGCACAGGCAGAGCTGGGCTGAATCAGCAGGGCTGGGTGGTGGCATGGGCAGGAGTGCGGACAGACGGCAGCAGGGGAGTTTAAGGTAAAATCCCACGGAGTTGAGATTCCAGTAGGATAAGGAGGCACCTGTTTCCTATGCGGGCATCATTTGGGGGTTAGGCGCTTAAATTTTCTGCCTAGGATCCAAATGCTTCTTTGGAGCCAGCTCACGTAAGCTAAATACCCAAGGCAGCTGGTGCATCGGGGCAATCATCTGGGTAAACCTCAATTTACTCACACACTCACACACGCTCTGCTGCCTCGGCCCTGATCTTGGCGCTAGATCTTAAACTAGATGTTAAACTCCCCAACGGGGATGAAAACACGCGTCTCGTTCCCAGACACCGAGCTCGCTGCGCCCGCAGCCCTCCTACCCTGCACGTCCATCGCTGCAGCTCCTCAAGGCTCATCCGCAACGGCTAATGCTTGTCAAGGAAACAGAAAACCTAAGTGACACACAAAAAAGACATTTTATTTTCATTCAGTTGATAGACAATGACCCGGTGATGATTCCCGCAAATACTTATGCTTAATAGCTGTTTTTCTCTGAGTGTCTTGTTGCTTCCATGCTCTGTAGCTAAGAAAAAGCTGCATTTTAAGGTGCTTCCCAGGGAAATGCTGGTTTACTGCCCTGTGAGTACATGCAAGTGAGGAGCAGAGAGGAGAAATCAGGAAGGGAAGATGGAATTCTGATGGGTTGCCGGGGAGATGCTCATGGTGTGGGTGGTGCTGGAGGCCCTCAAAGAGTGTTTACTGGTTTTAACTTATTAACATTTGGAAACGTGACTGTTCTCACTTCACAGAGGAGGAAACTAAAGCAGGAAGAAACCCAAAGGATGTTTTCAAATACATATCCAAAATCTTTTCCTTAAAAATGTATTCTTCCTTGTAGACATGAGTACCAGAGGGGACATTTTTCCATTTATTTTTCTCAAGTAATGCTCGGCATGGGAGGGCTTCTGTGTGTGTATCCTGACAGTACAGACCCTTCTTCACATTGCTGCTGTGACAGTTAAGTGCTCTGACAGGGCCCTGGGTACCGAGCAGCTTCTAATCCCATGGAGGATGATGGAAGGTGGAAGCGCTAACTGGTGAAAATGGACCTTGAGTATCTCAATTTAACCAGCCACAAGCAAAAGCTAGTGTGCGTTCCTGAGAACATGGGAACTGATTTCTTTTTCATAGGAATTTCATTTTCAAAGTGGAAAATAGTATTCTCCTGCGACCCAGCAGTGCTCCAGGGTTTCACTTTGGGATCAGTGCTTGCTTTGGGATCAGTGCTTGCAGTGCTTATTTGGAGACTTTGCAGAAAACTTCTCTTTGGAATCAAAGCAAAAGGCACCTTTTCAGACAGCTGGATGGAGCTGCAGTCAAAATCAGTCCTCTGCAGGTTCCAGCCACATAAATATTTGCGATAGTCCAAATATTTTCCTTTTACCATCACAGTGAAATAATGGCCTCAAAGCTTTGGGTTTTTTCAGTCCTAAACAAGAAATCTGAAAATAGCCTTGTGGCCAGAGCATTTATGTGGGCAGTGAGGTCTTGCTTATTTAAACCCGCAGCTGAAACCCAACCTCTCTCATGCTAAGGACTTGGCTGCCAAAATCCTGGTCTTTCACGAAGATCCCATTTTGACAGCTTTTCCTGATGAATGTTTTGCTGTAGCTGGATACCACTTCCAAGGAATGCTTCAGTTTTACTAAACTGCTGTCCTGTTAAATTTCCCAAGCAGCTCTAGTTTCAAATACAGTCTAAAATGGAAAATATTGTCTACAAATAAGCATCTCTTTTGAGTTCTTTCTTTCTAATAATGCTGCAGTAAGTATCAGCTTAAACTCACAAACATGAATTATTTAGGTACAAACTTTCAGTATGCTTCGTTTTCCATCCTACTGCGCTTTCCCTTCTCTCTACTCTCATCCTAAACTGCCATCTAGCTGTAGCTCTTGGACTTGCTCCTTACTCTAGTCCCGGGTACAGAACTAGGATCAATTTGTGATCAGCACTGGCCTTGAACTGAGGGTTAATAAAATTGGCTAGGCCAGGTCTTTGCTCCAGTAATATTAGTCTTTTTCCGAATAAAACACATGTTTTCCCTGCATAGCAAGGAATCCGCCACGGCTGTTTCCTTGTCCACTCCGTTACACATCTGGTGCAAACGTCCTGACGTAAACCACTGACATTCCTTAATCAGCCGCTAGGTTTAATCATATCTGACATTTAGGAGCGATGTCTCCAGCAATGAACAGATCTATTTGGGGATAGTTTGTGCTGTGTCATGACCTCCCCGAGGCCCCTTCTAGACTACGAGCTTTCCGGTTCATCTGTGTTGACTGAAAACCAAGAAAAACCACTCCTTACTCAGCATAGCTGGGAGGCCAAAACCCTGCAACAGGGGCAAGCATGCGAACAGAAGAATGTTCTTGTTGGCTTAGCCGGCATCGTCTGAGGAGAATGTTGAGAAAAGGCACCCGTGTTCTCCGTATCTGTGCTCCGGCGAGGACAATAACAGCGGCGTGTTTGCAGGGTTTTTGCAGGGTGCACGAGCACACGAATCCCAGCATGTTCTCAAGCTGACCTAACACCTGCCCGGTATGCGTGTTCCTGTGGGAAACCCATGGACAAGTCATATAGGCTTGCATTTCCTAGAGGCCAGGGGCTCTATTGAACTGTGCCTTGTGTCATAGAGACAAAAACAGGCTTCGGAAAATCATCTCTTGCTCCTCTTCCACAACTTATTTTATGCGAATAAGATCCAAAGTCCAGAAATCTGTTGTACGCATCTGAGCGGCGTCTAGTAGAACAGTTATTATCAGTAGATAATGCTCCACTATGTGGTAAATTTAACCTTTTCCACTGGTATAAAAAGGATCGTTATTAAAACTGCTGATTTTACATTCATGAGGCACCTTGCACTCCACTGTGCTGAAGAGAATATGTGAACACAGGATACCCGTGAATTGCCTGAATACCTGGGAAGAGCAGCACAGATATCTCGCTGTGTTAAATATGCCTTCTGCAAAAGGAAACATGTACCTACCAACTGTGCAGCCATGGGGCAGGTGGATGCCAAGTGCAAAGGCAGGTCGAAGGCATCAAGCGATGCCAAAGGCAAGAGCCCATCCTTTAGAAACACACGGAGCAATCCACAAGCCTGGAAGCTGCTGTTGAAGGTGCATTCTCCATCATGAGGCTCACTGTCCTCCCAGGCCGCCACGGCAGAGCTGCAGCTCAAATCCCCTAACCCAGAGCACCGCAAGTGGTTTCAGAGAGCTGCAAGTATCTCTAGCCAAGAGCTGTACAGGTGACCTATGTGTATAATATTTATGGCACCTACTTATACAATACTCATGATGTTCCTGGGAGGCATCAGGCTTGCCCAGACCATGCAGTGCAGGGCAGGGTTTGCCACAGGATGGAGAATGAGCAGGGAGGCAGAAAGCCTCTCTGCAACAACCCACCAAACAGGGCACCGCAGCTTTGTCCCAACACACTGCACTGAGATGAAGAGCCCCCCTCAAAACCGTGCCACCCTCGAGGATGCAAACGTGAACAAGGCCCTTCCCGCGCCGCACCAGCTCCCGGGAGCAAAAAGGCTGAGGAGCTTCCAGCAGAGCCATCCAGGGGCGCAGAAGGGACCGCAGAGGCCGCAACCGCCCGCACCGCGGGCAAGACTCCCCGGCAGCACCACAACCCACCCCCGCCTCCTCCTCAGGCGGCGGCGCCATTTTGAGGGGCGGCACCTTGGCCGCGGGGCGGGCGACAGCAGCGCCCAGGCGCGGGC